GTAGGTTTGCCATGGGAAGTACACTTGATACTCAAGTCTTGGCCTTCACGCCGTACTACCGTGCGAGGCACTGTAATGGTTGGAGTTTCTGTGGAAAATAGGCAGTATGCACGTAAAAAGCAACATTTTTTTGTAAAAACATCATATATTTCATAGTTATTATAACTTGTCACGAGAGATATCGCCTGGGTGAAATCACACGAGACAATGTATCCATAAGGAAATCTGGTTTTACTTGTTGTGGTGCCATTTGGGTTTTTCGTGAGATATGGTACTAGTGGCTTTCAAGAGATCATTATGGATTGGTGTGTCTTGCAGTAGTGAAGTGGTACAAACTATTTTGTATAAATATTTTCCATGATATGTTTGCATTGATTGGTTGAAATGCCACCTTTTTTCAGTGCTCTCCCAATAATCTGAAAAAGCTGTTTGGTACCCCTGTTTTCAAGAGAGACATTTCTTGACTGTGAATTGTAACATTGCAATTTGATACTGAATATTCTTTAGAAAAATTGACATGAATGAACCATGTATAAACAGACCTTGGTACGGTAATACGAGCAACAAAATCGTCCAATTTGTCACGCAACATTGCTGCAAAACAAGTGGCAAAGCGATGTTGCGCATTCTAGTACGGGCGAACTAAATTGTCTCGCATCAAAATAATTTGTTGCAGTTGAGCAAATCCTTATTTCTGATTGATTAATGCAGTCAGACGATTGTTGCGCGACGTCATTTTGCTGCGAGACAAGTTTGGTTGTTGTGGTAATACGCGCAACGTCGATGGATTTTGTTGCAAAAAGTAGAACGATCTTCTACTTTCTGCAACAAATTATTTTGCTGCGAGACAAGTTGGTTCGTGGTAGTAACACGCGCAGCATAACTTTTCAACTTGCTTTGCCACAATGTTGGGAGACAAGTTGGACGATTTTGCTGCTCGTAAGAGTGTAAAATTTGCAGGTTCAGCACCCATTTCCATAGATAGCTGAGGACAAGTACCATTAGTATTTTGGACAAACTTTTTGGACTAAGCAAGGTTTACACGCAACAGTGATCGAGTGCGGAGCTTAGTACAGAAAACAGTTATTTCCGGCTTAGTTGAAGGTAGGAAGATAGTGATGCCCACGACAAGCACTATCGAAATCGAGACATTTTCTTATTCCTCAATTCCTAATGTTATAGTAAACTACCCGAATAAAAAGAACGCACCTGTGACAATAAGCTCAGAACGACTTGTTAAAGCTCTCCCATTAGTTAGATTAAGAGT